TATCGAACCAGAAACTACCACTTGCTACCTACTTAGAGGGTGTCCAAATCCAATCTTTTTAATTTTCATATGTAAGCCAAAATAATGCTTCCCCCTCACCAATAACGTATTACAGCATACTTCAACTGAAATGAAAGGTTTGTACTATAAAAATATGGAACTGTATAAAAGTTAAATAATGAAGAATTTCACAAATCCATTTAATTCTCTATTTCTGTAACAACAGTATGAGTGCTTTACACCACATTCTTGTAACTGATAAGAAATAGCTGAATTGCTTTTTCAACTGATGGTATTAATACCATCTAAAATCTTTTTCTAGCAGGCCAATATAAGCATGAAAGTTATACCTTGTGTTATTTTGTAGAACATAAGACTGTAAAGCTTGTCAGCACAGGCATATTCTGAAACCATTCCAGCAAAAGCTAAACTAAGTTGATAAATAAATGAGAAAATAATCTAATTCAGAAATTGTACGATAAGCTGAGTCTTACCTGTCTGCAAAGGCTGAAGCAATAACATGACAGTTTGACACACTTGATCTCCAGAGGTCTGCTCAATTTGCTCAAGTAAACCCAAAAACAGTTCCTTTGGATTGCACAGCTGCAAGAGAGGAACTCAAGTTAGCTAACTCAGCTAAAATCGTGTCCTTTAGATGAGTTTAACTCACTATGATGTGAGAACCACACCTCCGAAGCTGAGGCTGCCCACCTCCAAACAGAGCCCTACCCACTGAACATACACCATGAATTCTGAATATACTGTACCTTTAAATCAAGGCAAGAGAATAAGCTGCCAAGAGCAGCTTATCCAAGTACTGATGTAGATCCATTATGCAAATATTGTTTGAACAGAATTGTATACATACATTTGTATATTTGGCCTTTGGTGTGCTAGCTTTGTGGATTAATGATCCAGCCTTCTTTCTGTGCAGAACTGTAACTAAATCAAACCCCTCCACCCTGTGTGTCTTTTGGCTTTGTGTACTGGGTGATATATCTCACTTTTCAGGGACAACAATACTGTAGTAGGTAAGTGGCAGTTTTGCTGTGGCTGCTCTGACTGCAGCAGTTGGCTATCAAAAATTTTGAGTGCTATCTGCTGCCTTCTTCTGGGTAATGCTTTGTCACTGTTTTACCCAGTTACTAATTTCAGATGTGTAAGACGTTAATTATCTCTGAGAACACTAAGCCTGTGTCTGCCTCAGATGAAAGTGGCCCATGAGTTTAATAGTTATGGGAAATAAGAAGAACCCAGAAATGTTCATGCCCTGTTTTCTTTGGAAACTGGGGGGGAAATTACAACCTCTCTCTTTCCTACTATTATTGTATTACATTTCAAAACCATACCTGTGCCAACTGATCTAGTATCCTCAGGCAGTGCTCTCGCTTATCATCTTCTTCTTTATACATGAAAATACATCTAACAAGAGGAGAGATGAGATTCCAACCCATATTCTTGATGATAACCTAAAGACCAGATTTTCAGGGAATAAACCAAAACTGTATGTCTTCTAAACCCATAAAGACTGTATATATAAAGAACAAAAGAGACAACAGATCAATCTCCTGGTTGTAACCAACACCACAGCTGTCACTTCAGTGAGAATTTAACAACTATTACCATAAAGTTCTGTATTTGAAATACACTCTATTCTCTCCCCCTACCTATAAATACAGCTGCATAATTTGTATAAGTTTTCTTTGATTTATTAACATTAACATGTCAATATATACTTCTAAATGTCTATCACAATACATTTAAAACAAGACTGAGTACATGAATTTTTCTGAAAGACTGCTTGGAC